AATACTGTATGGTTTAAAAAACCAGCTGTATGCATCAACTTTTTGGGAGTGAAATTAAACTGGTTTGAACTTCAAGGAAATAAGATAAAATGTATTTGTGTTCGCATTTTGCAATTAATTTAATAAAACTTTTAAAAACTTTGACTCATTCAAAATTAGTTTTCTGGAAACCAAAATGCCGCAAAAAACATAAATTTATTTGTAAATTAAATGAGGGAATCAACTATATTTTCAAGATTCTCCTTATTTATTGAAATGAAAATGACTCAACTGTGTATTGCCAAAAATGAAACAATATTTAAGCCCCGTTCATGTATTGATTAATTGTAGGTTATTTTGGGACGACCTGGCTTCTCCAAGCCCCTCCCATAGTTATAAATAATAATAACCGAACACCCAACCGCCCACATTTAGCTGAAGTTCAATGACTAGCAACAACGGAGCTCCACTCAGGCGTGAATTATGGTGAGGGAACCCATAACCCATAGCCCATACCCATTTCCATTCTCAATCCCAATACCCAATCCTGAACCCTTAATGTCACAAAAGAGTTGGATAATGCATGCTTGAGGGGTTAGGGGGCCATTGGGGGTTAAAGGGTTAAGGGGTTGTGCGCGCAACAGTTGATTGCCATCGGGGAAGATTATGTAAATCAAATTGTCCAAGAAGAATTTGCCATCAAATGGGGCACACAATTATGGAAGCAATTAAACTGGGCCAAATATATGCACATTTATGCAATTGGGCTCGCTTGGCGAAATGCCAAGTCAATATTTATTTTCTAATCAGTGCATCCTAATTGACATTATTCGCACAGAAAAACACCGATTTCAAAATTGTAGAAAATACAGCGACCAATACAAGGGATTTTTGTTTTTAAATTATCTATTATGACTCTATGAAAATACTCAAAAAGTTGTTAAAAATATATTAAAAAAATATTTCAAATCGCTTTGTTGTTTTAAAGACAATACTTTATATAACTTTATAAATTATTATGGCACTTTAAAACGTACCACTTTTGTTCACATTTTCTTTTGAATTCGCATAAAATGATTGAGTACGAGTCACCTCAAGGCTTTTCCTGTGATAAATTATTACACCATTTTCCACTCACTCTTACACAGACAAAATTCACTCACGCATCTGTATGGACAGGCCTGTACACTTGAAGAAATCAATTAAAGTATCCTGAAACTCTTAAAAAGTTTTTCAGGAAAATAATAAATATTTAAATAAATATCTATTTAAAAAATATATTTAATATATTTAATAAATATATTTATAAATAAACATTTAAATGGAATTTTTTGGAGTTTTAAAATACTTTTTCATATTGCAAACGTTATAAATAAGGGTACATAATGGAAAGAACATTTAGGTACATTTTTAAGATCATTTTTTAGAAGTGTAAGTTTTATTATTATTATTTTTCAAAAGAAGAATAGAATTTCGGACTCCCTTTTTGCCTTGACAACCTTAAAATGTTTTTGAATATCAAAATACTTCAAGGATATTTTAAAAACCATATTCTATTGTCTTAACTGAGGAGGGAAATTTGCGTCGTGTACCGTTGACTGCATTGTCAGCAAGTTCATTTCCGCTGTGGCCACACAAAATGGCGTGCAAAATGCAAAAACAATGGGCGCGAAAGAGAGGGCCTGCGTCGGCGGGAAAGAGAGGGCGCCAAGTGCTCTCGTTGATGGGCAACATTAACGCACGCGATGTGGATGTGGATGTGAATGTGGATGTGAATGTGGATGTGAATGTGGTTCCATGGGATCTGTGGGATTGTCAGCATTCAGGGACTTTGGACAGCGACAATTGCATGTGTAATTTGTGTTTAGTGGGCTGGAAATAAAGTACCGGGCCCCGCCCCCCGTTAAGTGGGTCGAACAAAAGAATTTCAGGTGAAACTCTGCATTCCGGAGCAGAGATGGCGAGCTATTCGCACAATAAAGCAGACAATATAGGGCTCTCCACCGGATTTCGGCCACTGAATGCACGGCGTTTCGATTAAAGGTACTGTTTAAATATTCGCCTTTGTTCTGATATCATTTTAGTTGGCCAGCTTATCAAAATATATTACTTCCACAGACCACAATTTAATATGAAATCACTAAGAAACACGTCTAAAAGTATGCAACAATATATTTTTAGTTCGGAATTACCATTAATTTGAGGGAAGACGTAATTTTGAACTGCATACTTTTAGACACCTTTATGGGTGATTTTATAACATAAAACATTTTTACATAACCATAGCAACCAAAATGATGTTTTAAAAGACACCGTTTTTAAGATATTTCTAAAATCTTTCGATTTTTGTCCCAACAACACTACTACATTTTTTAATCTTTAGTATTTATTAAAAAAAAGTTTTTTAAATGCTTTTTATTTTGTTAATGTCTTTTCGAAATCTTGTTATCCAATTCTTCATTTACGACCACGTTTTTTAGGCTGCGGTTTCGGGGATTTCTTGATGATTGGTTTTGGCTTTGGCTGGGGTTTTTGAGGTTGCTTTGGATTTCCACGTGGCTTTGCCTGGGGTTTTTGAGGTGGCCTTGCCTGGGGTCTTGGAGGTGGCTTTGCGTTTCCACGTGGCTTTGCCTGGGGTTTTTGAGGTGGCTTCGCGTTTCCACATGCCTTTGGCTTGGGTTCGGGCTTGGGTTGGAGTTTACATTTAGGTTCAGGATTACATTTGGGCTGAGGCTTCGGTTGGGAATTGGGGCACTTGGGTGGAAGACTCTTGCTCCCACAACCAGATCCTCCTTTAGATCCACAGCTAGATCCACATGAGGATCCACATCCAGATGGTCCTTTTGCTCCCGGGTGATGAATTATGGTTTTAGTTTTCGGATGCTTGATGGTTTTTTCGCAATGAGATCGTTTGATGGTTTTTCCGCAAGAGGGTCGTTCGGTTTTTTCGCAGTGGGGTTGCTTTGGGGTGCTAACTGTGGTTGGTGGCTCGGTGCTGCACACTGGTGGTTTGGTGCTGCAAACTGGTGGTTTAGTACTGCAAACTGGTGGATTAGTGCTGCAAACGGGTGGTTTAGTGCTGCAAACGGGTGGTTGAGTGCTGCAAACGGGTGGTTTAGTGCTGCAAACTGGTGGTTGAGTGCTGCAAACGGGTGGTTTAGTGCTGCAAACTGGTGGTTGAGTGCTGCAAACGGGTGGTTTAGTGCTGCAAACTGGTGGTTGGGTACTGCAAACTGGTGGTTGAGTGCTGCAAACGGGTGGTTGAGTGCTGCAAACGGGTGGTTGAGTGCTGCAAACAGGTGGTTCAGTGCTGCAAACGGGTGGTTGAGTGCTGCAAACGGGTGGTTGAGTGCTGCAAACAGGTGGTTCAGTGCTGCAAACGGGTGGTTGAGTGCTGCAAACGGGTGGTTGAGTGCTGCAAACAGGTGGTTCAGTGCTGCAAACGGGTGGTTGAGTGCTGCAAACTGGTGGTTCGGTGCTGCAAACTGGTGGCTTAGTGCTGCAAACGGGTGGTGTAGTGCTACAAACGGGTGGTTGAGTGCTGCAAACTGGAGGTTCCGTGCTGCAAACTGGAGGTTTAGTGCTGCAAACTGGTGGTTGTGTGCTGCAAACGGGTGGTTGAGTGCTGCAAACTGGTGGTTCGGTGCTGCAAACTGGTGGCTTAGTGCTGCAAACTGGTGGTGTAGTGCTGCAAACGGGTGGTTGAGTGCTGCAAACTGGAGGTTCCGTGCTGCAAACTGGAGGTTTAGTGCTGCAAACTGGTGGTTCAGTGCTGCAAACTGGTGGTTGAGTGCTGCAAACTGGTGGTTCAGTGCTGCAAACGGGTGGTTGAGTGCTGCAAACTGGTGGTTGAGTGCTGCAAACTGGGGGCTTAGTGTTGCAAACTGGTGGTTCGGTTCCACAAACTGGTGGTTCAGGGTTGCAGTCTTCCGGATCCGGATCGCATCCTGGGGGTTCTGGGTCGCACTCTGGTTGAGATGAGTTTGCCGGGGATTGCCCAACCAGCACCACCAAGCCCACAATTAGCACCGCAAAGCGCATCTTCACTACTGCATTTACAGCCGAAAAAGGCTCATTATATACCCATTGCATTCTGACCTTGACCCACCGTATTACAGTTTTGGGTACACTCAAAGAATTTAGCTCATAGATGAAAAGGTTAAAATAAATGCTTACAATATTTTAATAATTAAAACAAAAACATAAATCCATTCACGTGAAAAAAGAGAATTTGCTTTATAAAGATGGAGGCACCATGAAAAAACAATGGGTTATCTAAAAATATTTGTTGCGTTTATTAATACACATAAAAGTAATAAACATTTTCTTAGAGTGTAGGTCTTCCACAAATATTTGTGGAATAGAAAGGTCTGTTTTCCATTTTTGGCCCCCGGATTGACTTAAGCCAACTTAACATGAACACCAACTTGAGTTTACTTAACCGCAGCTGCTCGAGCATTCCAGGTATTAATTGCCATATTGATCATGGTATTGTTAAGTTTCTGTTGTCTTAAACTGGATAAATTGAGTTGTGGAAAAATGGCGTGTGTTACTTGTGTGTACAAATCAAACGGTTTTGTTTAAAACGTTTTTATTATGTTTTTGCCATTTTTTTTGGCAATAGTTGGTATAGCTTGTTTCGATAAAGGTAATTTTCAAATTTAAAAAAAAGCAGTACAAAATATTTTTTTAGATTTTATTTACAGCTTAAAATTATTTCAAATAAACAAGACAACGTTTTAAATAAATGGAATACAATAAAACTTCTTACGAAACAATATTAAAACTTGTATGAATGATACCATTTCACAGTCACGTGTTAAAGTGTGACCATATTTTTATTTCGGACTAGAAAAAATGGTTTTAAGGGAGAACTCAATTATTAAATAGGGTATTTCAGGGAATTCCAATCCTTAAATTAGAATCTGAGATAAATTTTCTCACCGACTTTCTGAAATTACCGATATAATTTCGAATATGTTGGTCCAAATGCCATCACCAGCTGGGTCCAATCACCTGGTATATTGTTTCCCAACGTTTTTTGTTTCAACAGATTTTTTTTTCGACTTTACTTTGGCCTTCGCTTGCGTAAATAAGACGTTGACTATAAATTGCGCAGAAACCTTAGACCGAACGTCAGAGATAGATAATAGATAGTGTCGAGATGAAGTTGACAAAGTTAATGCTGGTTTTCCTGTGCCTCGGGCTTTACGTGACCCTAGTTGTGAGTGCCGATACGGATACAGATACGGATACGGATTCGGCCACCGATTCTGATGACGATGACGAATCTTCAACGGATGCCAGTTCCACGGAGAGTGCTGATGATGGTAGTAGTAGCGATGTCGATGATACCGATACAGATTCCGATACAGATACAGATACCGATACAGATACCGATACAGATGACGATGAGGATGAGACCACTACAGCAGCTCCAGTGGTGAAAAAGAAGAGGACCAACAACAAGAAGAAGGCCAACAGCAATAGGAAGAAGGCCAACAAGAACAAGAAGAAGGCCAATAACAAGAAGAAGGCCAACAACAATCGCAGAAAGAAGAACAACAACAGGAGGAAGGCAACCAACAACAACAGGCGCAGAAACAACGCCAGAAGACGTGGTTAGAATGGAAAAAAACCTTTACAAAAAATCAACAGTATCAATACCATGTGCTTTAATAAATACAATTTTTTTTTTCATGATTAAATATTTAATTGGGGTATTGGTGTGGTTCAACTGCACACAAAAACGCTGCATATTTTTTCGGGAATGCAGAAGGCCATTTCGGTAGAAATTAAAAAAAGGCAATCTGTATGACCAATTCATGGAGGTAAGCATACAAAATTCCTCGCAAAAAAACACACAATTTCATATTGAAAAAAGAAAATCACTGAGGTGTGCTTAAAGAATCAGTTTCCATTCTATGGAGTTGATGAAAAATCGTGTAACAATAGAAGTTCCCTCTTGCGAGAAATATTCTGTAAATATTGTGTCTACCATTCAAACAAATCGCGAACATTTTGCCACAAAGCAACTATAAATATCGAAACAAATCTGTTTGTGTTGCAGACAAGGATAAAAAAAGAACAAAGGCTTCAATATAAAATTACAAAATATTATGGACACAATGTACACAGAATGTGGCTGCAAACTAGGCAACAGTATTTTTACCACAATATGTGCAGTGGAGCGGGCTAAAATGGCTGTCAGAAAATCTCAACAGGTGTCGATGACTTATCGATGAATGGCTCTTCAGCTTTGCAGCTTTCAAAGCGCCCACAATCTGCTCAATTATCCAGGCTATATAAGTTATTCAGGCCCGACTGACAGACACACACACACACACACACACAGCTTTCTCCGTTGGCCAACTTCCTGCGGTGACTCAAAGTTTCTGTCACTTTAACTTTTCTAATTCGATTAAGTCGACTAACTGCAAATTGATTTCATTGTAAGTCGCTAATTGGCCGACTTCATTGGCCTAACTTTTAAGTTGGCGCGGCGCGGTTGCCTTTGCTTTTCCAGCAAGTAGTGGCTTTCCATGACGCCTGGGTCACGTCCGGGTCTTGATACGTTAATTTAGCAAACAGTTGTGCAAACATTGCCAAAAAGCAAAATAATTAGTCGAAATTCGCCAGCATTTTGTGCTATTTTTGTGGCGGCTCTCGCTTTAATTTGCTTTGTTGACGACCCACTTGAAGGCCGTCTTTTCTGTACTCCCCCGTTTATTAAAAGTTGTAATTTTAATGCGACTGATTAAGGGCTTCAAAGGAATGCGATTTGTACTATACACAAAGTGCGTGGTAGTTTTGCGGCTTTCTATTTTAATTTTATATATAATTAGCTTTGTATGACATGCGCAATATTATGGTACGTCAGTACCATTCAAAGCAAACGCGAATTCTTGAGCATAAATACACATTTTTTAGTGGTTTTTTAGTCGTAGCTTAGCCAAATCAAGTCGTACAGCTAAAAGACCGACTGTTTTGAGCAGCTTGCTACAAATGCTAACGATCCCCATCATTTTCAGGAACATTTATTTTTTGACCCATTTTCGCATTTTTTTAAGGGGGTACATCGGTTATTTTTGGGATTCAGATTTTGGACAAAAAATACACATTTTTTAGTGGTTTTTCAGTCGTAGCTTAGCCAAATCAAGTCGTACAGCTAAAAGACCGACTGTTTTGAGCAGCTTGCTACAAATGCTATCGATCCCCATCATTTTCAGGAACATTTATTTTTTGACCCATTTTCGCATTTTTTGTAAGGGGGTGCATCGGTTATTTTTGGGATTCAGATTTTGGTCATAAATTCTCATTTTTTAGTGGTTTTTCAGTCGTAGCTTAGCCAAATCAAAGCGTACAGCTAAAAGACCGACTGTTTTGAGCAGCTTGCTACAAATGCTATCGATCCCCATCATTTTCAGGAATATTTATTTTTTGACCCATTTTCGCATTTTTTGTAAGGGGGTACATCGGTTTTTTTTGGGATTCAGATTTTGGTCAAAAATACTCATTTTTTAGTGGTTTTTCAGTCGTAGCTTAGCCAAATCAAAGCGTACAGCTAAAAGACCGACTGTTTTGAGCAGCTTGCTTCAAATGCTATCGATCCCCATCACTTTAACGAACATTTATTTTTTGACCCATTTTCGCATTTTTTATAAGGGTACATCGGTTTTTTTTGGGATTCAGATTTTGGTCAAAAATACGCATTTTTTAGTGGTTTTTCAGTCGTAGCTTAGCCAAATCAAGTCGTACAGCTAAAAGACCGACTGTTTTGAGCAGCTTGCTACAAATGCTATCGATCCCCATCATTTTCAGGAACATTTATTTTTTGACCCATTTTCGCATTTTTTGTAAGGGGGTACATCGGTTATTTTTGGGATTCAGATTTTGGTCAAAAATATACATTTTTTAGTGGTTTTTCAGTCGTAGCTTAGCCAAATTAAGTCGTACAGCTAAAAGACCGACTGTTTTGAGCAGCTTGCTACAAATGCTATCGATCCCCATCATTTTCAGGAACATTTATTTTTTGACCCATTTTCGCATTTTTTGTAAGGGGGTACATCGGTTATTTTTGGGATTCAGATTTTGGACAAAAAATACACATTTTTTAGTGGTTTTTCAGTCGTAGCTTAGCCAAATCAAAGCGTACAGCTAAAAGACCGACTGTTTTGAGCAGCTTGCTACAAATGCTATCGATCCCCATCATTTTCAGGAACATTTATTTTTTGACCCATTTTCGCATTTTTTGTAAGGGGGTGCATCGGTTATTTTTGGGATTCAGATTTTGGTCATAAATTCTCATTTTTTAGTGGTTTTTCAGTCGTAGCTTAGCCAAATCAAAGCGTACAGCTAAAAGACCGACTGTTTTGAGCAGCTTGCTACAAATGCTATCGATCCCCATCATTTTCAGGAACATTTATTTTTTGACCCATTTTCGCATTTTTTGTAAGGGGGTGCATCGGTTATTTTTGGGATTCAGATTTTGGTCATAAATACTGATTTTTTAGTGGTTTTTCAGTCGTAGCTTAGCCAAATCAAGTCGTACAGCTAAAAGACCGACTGTTTTGAGCAGCTTGCTACAAATGCTAACGATCCCCATCATTTTCAGGAACATTTATTTTTTGACCCATTTTCGCATTTTTTTAAGGGGGTACATCGTTTATTTTTGGGATTCAGATTTTGGACAAAAAATACACATTTTTTAGTGGTTTTTCAGTCGTAGCTTAGCCAAATCAAGTCGTACAGCTAAAAGACCGACTGTTTTGAGCAGCTTGCTACAAATGCTATCGATCCCCATCATTTTCAGGAACATTTATTTTTTGACCCATTTTCGCATTTTTTGTAAGGGGGTGCATCGGTTATTTTTGGGATTCAGATTTTGGTCATAAATACTGATTTTTTAGTGGTTTTTCAGTCGTAGCTTAGCCAAATCAAGGCGTACAGCTAAAAGACCGACTGTTTTGAGCAGCTTGCTTCAAATGCTATCGATCCCCATCACTTTAAGGAATATTTATTTTTTGACCCATTTTCGCATTTTTTGTAAGGGGGTACATCGGTTTTTTTTGGGATTCAGATTTTGGTCAAAAATACTCATTTTTTAGTGGTTTTTCAGTCGTAGCTTAGCCAAATCAAAGCGTACAGCTAAAAGACCGACTGTTTTGAGCAGCTTGCTTCAAATGCTATCGATCCCCATCACTTTAACGAACATTTATTTTTTGACCCATTTTCGCATTTTTTATAAGGGTACATCGGTTTTTTTTGGGATTCAGATTTTGGTCAAAAATACGCATTTTTTAGTGGTTTTTCAGTCGTAGCTTAGCCAAATCAAGTCGTACAGCTAAAAGACCGACTGTTTTGAGCAGCTTGCTACAAATGCTATCGATCCCTATCATTTTCAGGAACATTTATTTTTTGACCCATTTTCGCATTTTTTGTAAGGGGGTACATCGGTTATTTTTGGGATTCAGATTTTGGTCAAAAATACACATTTTTTAATGGTTTTTCAGTCGTAGCTTAGCCAAATCAAGTCGTACAGCTAAAAGACCGACTGTTTTGAGCAGCTTGCTACAAATGCTATCGATCCCTATCATTTTCAGGAACATTTATTTTTTGACCCATTTTCGCATTTTTTGTAAGGGGGTACATCGGTTATTTTTGGGATTCAGATTTTGGTCAAAAATATACATTTTTTAGTGGTTTTTTAGCCGTAGCTTAGCCAAATCAAGTCGTACAGCTAAAAGACCGACTGTATTGAGCACCTTGCTTAATATGCTAACAATCCTTATCACATTAAGGAAAATTAAGTTTTTGAGCAATTTTCTCATTTTTTGTAAGGGGCTACATCACCTTTTTTGCGAAAAATTGAGAAAATCAAAATATTCTGGTTTGAATCCCAATGGTTGGGCAATTAAACAATGAGCGCAATGAGCTATGACATTCCTCGCTTTGACCTCTACTTGCCATTATGGTAGCCAAAACACCAATTTTTATGCCGAAAATTGTTTACGGTTTTAATCGAAATTTTGCCAACTCAAAGCGGACAGCAAAAATACCGGCAGCTTGCTTGCTATGCTAACGATCCTCAATCCGATCCGTCAATTCAGTCCATAGTGTATACTTAAAAGTTTTTAAATAATCTCAATTTACCTTTTCTCTTCTCACCATTTCGTTCTAATATTGAGAACATTGATACCAAAATGTACTTACACGGTTTTTAAGAACGAATGTTCTCAAGTCAAGAACAATGTTCTTGGATATTTCTATCTGTGTAGAGTTGTTAATAAGGCAGGAAGAACAAAAAATACTTTCTAAATAGATTTTCAAGTAAATATTGCGTACTGGTGATACTAGAAAGTTACAGAGTTGCCATTGCTTTTTAAGGACATAGGGTGACAACTCTGCTTCTCAGCTGATAAGTTTTGTCGAACGACAATTGCTAACGCAGCAACCCAATGGAGATGTTCAAAAAATTTTCGTCTGACAACTCAGTTTGACTTTTGATATTTATAAAATTGGTTTTCGGCTGTATAGACTTGTACTGCATAAATTATTTTTTCTCGCACAAGTTCCCTGCCGTCAAAAGTCGAATTTTGTGCTCCATCGATCGGGATAAGCCACAAAAACAGGACGCCCACGAAGGGCAAAAAGAAGCGCAGAAGGAATTTCACGTCTTTTGACTGGTAGGACGGAAAATACATTTTTACTTAAGGCTGAGCAGCCAGAATGTTTTCCGCACTTATAACATGAGTTCTCTTCAATTTAGGTTATCAATGCCTGTACAAGATCCAGAAATAATTGAACCATTAACCCTTGAACTATCAGACACCTCCTCTAAACTTCTTTCGTTCTGGTAAGCCATCTTTAGTAAATTAGGCAAATAATTCAAACCATTTCATTAAAACCACTTTACCTCAGGGCCGTCAATGGACGAGTTTTTTATGCAGGGTGTCGGCTTAAACCAGGGGAACCCTGAACCCATGCACGGTAGATCCGACGAGCAGCTTATGCAACCACCAAGTTCATCTATGGTACTCAAGAGCGGACGATTACCAACCCAGAACAAGGCGAAATAGGTGCCGAAAGTACGCGGGTTGGAGGCAAAACATATCTTCGATGTAGATCATACCCCGATAATGGCATCTTTATATCCAAACCGCCAATTCGTACGATCCCGATCTGCCGTCGTCATCGGATATTTGGAAGAATCCGTCGGAAGCGGAGAGGCCTCTGAGTTGTACCCTCAAAAGCAATGGAATGCCTGATGTCCAAGGAAACTTCATCGAAATTAGTTGAACCCCAAGAAAATAGTGCTGAGAAGGGGCTTTTCGACTGGGATCGGCAGATCATCTTTGCAAATGCGACAATGCTGAAGGTTATCACTACCATTTGCTGTGGACAGCCTTACTTATGCCACAATATGGCTGCATGGTTTGCCGAGCCCCTCGGATTTGAATCAGTCGTTCAAGGCTTGCTGATCATCCAACCCAAATTTTTTGTGGTCAAATCCGATCGGGAGATAATTTTTACAAATGTAACGATGGTCTTCCGATCGCCTTTGACCACAAAAAAATTGGGTTGGAAGATCAGCGAACCCTGAAGGAGTGGATCAAAGCGGAGGGGCTCAACGAACCTTACAGCGATACTGAGGGTACATAGGGCCCACGTCGTTTCTTCAGAATAGTTCCTTGTGGGGTAATGGGTATTTTATAGTCGACTATGGCGGTCTCTCTTGTTTTTGATTTAATTTAATAAAATAATTGTATCATTAAAATGAAAGCCTAATTGGTAAATTTGGCGATATCACACATAAATGTGTGGTCTTAGAGGAGCACCCATTCCCATTCACCAAACGTTGGCCAGCTAAGAAAACGCGAATTCTTAAGCATCCCAATTCTTCTAAGTAAATTATACATGACCCATTATAACAATTCCTGATCAATCGATAAATATCCGAATAAAATCATTTTCTAAATGTATTTTTTTTATGAAATATCATTTTTTTCCTACAAATTTAATTTAACAAAATAGTGTATCATAAAAATGATAACCTAATTGGTTATTTTTGAGATATCGTTCTGCTGCGAGCATACATGTGGGGCACCTCTACTCACCGAACGTTGGCCAGCGTGTGGCGACGGTTCTTGAGGTACCGACTGTGGTACTTCTGCAGGTCGCCGATGGACCCCTGCTCGGCCTGCATCTTGCTGGTGGGCAGCAGCTGCGAGTTGCTGGGGTGCGAGGAGGCGAGGGCGGAGGCCGACGACGAGGTCAGCCGGTGGTGGGCGGCGACGCTGACGCTGCTGCTGTTTTGGGTGCTGTTTTGGGTGGCGGTGCCGCCGGTGGTGCTGCTGGAGGCCAAGGTCTCGTTCGAGTTGCTGCCGATGACAGTGGTGGCCGACGAGGAGCCGCCCGTCGATCCGATGGGCGCAAGGACGATGCGCGACCAGCAGGACTTGTGCGGCTTGCGGAACTTTAGTTTGATGCGCGGCGAGGGCGTCGAGGAGGTACCTGCCATTGAAAATATAAAATAGACCCGGTTATAATTCATAATGATTATTCGCACATTGATATTTACTTATTTCTCTATTTATGTAGGTCAAAACTTGCTTATAATCAAAAAAACAAAGATAAGTAAATGCATTTAAAAACTGAATACCTATTACAGTTTCCTAGCATCCAATAAATTCCTTTTTATTTTAAAAGTCAAGAAAGTGGGTTTGATAAATATATATAAACATTAATAATATATCAAATTACATATTACACTTATTTACATATTTTTTCTAAACTGCTAACCAAAAGGTAGAACTCCACAAGATGGTAAAGATTAAATATTCAAAGGATAAATGTTTCGCTTTGTTTTTAATTCATTGCAGTTTTTGTTAATTTAAGAAATGGCAATATTATATTCATTTTATATTTTATTTATTTATATATTAATTTTAATTTAAAAATGAAATTATTTGTTTTATGACATAGAATGTTTAAAGTAAATATGACAAAAATATGTTTCATATCTTATCTATCTGTTTTCTTATTATATTTATAACTGATTTAAATGCTTTGAGTATTATTTGTTCAAATACACCATACGAAACTTTAAATCCAATATGCAGATATTTCTTTTTAACATTCAATCTTTGTTAATAACTTCTAATTTAAGATGATTGGATTTTTAATTTTATATATGTCAGGTATACAAATAAATTGTTAATAGATAGTTTAATTTGGGGGATATTAAGGTCTGGACCCCAATAAAAATTAAAATACTATTACACAAATAAATAGATAATAATTGCTGACATGTTATTGATATCAATAATACTTCTGAGTAGTCTATAGGGAATTACCTGCAATATACTCCTGCGGTGGCTGACTGCCAGTGGGCACTGTGCCCGCCGACGACGAGGTGGCCGAGGAGTGGTGCACGCTCTCGCAGCTGCCACAGTAGCCACTGCCTACGGTGATCGGCGGTGGCAGTTGCTGCTGATCCTTGAGGATCGACTGGTGCTTGGAGTTGGCCTGCTCGGACTCCTCCTCCTCCTTGATATGCGGCAATGGGGAAGTCTGCGGCTGGCAACTGCAGCGCTGTTGATTCTGGCTGGTATTCGAGCTTGAGCTCGAACTGGAACTCTGATTGGGATTCGGGCTTTGGACCTGATTCTGTCCTGGATTCTGGCCGGGATTTGTGCCGCTGTACAGGGTGACCTGGCTGAGGATGTTCCCGCTGCTGGGCACCAAATGTGGCTGTGATTGCGAAGATGGTGGCTGCTGCTGCTGCTGCACCACCGCGGTGGGTGAGACACTGGCGTCGCTCAGCGTTTCCGGTTCCGCTCGGCGGGCGACCAGACCGCTGGCCAAGCTGGCGGCTGCTATGTCCGCCGCACTCAACTGCTGGTCCAGCTCCTCGTCCACGTCGTTGATGAGGGTCTTCAGGGAGATCGGGGTGGTCGCCGATGTGTCGATGGTGTCCGCCAGCGAGTGCTTCTTCTTGCTGCCGTACAGATCCAGCTCGGATCCGGATCGCGATTCGTATCCGGTGCGGTTCAGCAGATCGTCCGCACTGCTGTTGCCGTTGTTCCGCTCCTGGGTGTCCCGCTTATGGTCCTTGGGCTTCTCCAGACCACTGTTGCTATTATCCTCTGGACCGCCAATGGCCTTGAACTCCTCCGGCGACTGGGCGGGTGTTTGGGGCGGGCTTGTGGCGGGGGCTGCGGAGCCGCCCCCGCGACAAGGGAGGCAACACCGAAACACTGTGCCACCGAAGCACTTTGTTCTTGTCTTTGATTTCCGCTTGCCACTCCCACTTCCGCTGCCGCTGCCTCTGCCGCTTCCGCTTCCGCTCCCACTACCGCTGCCACACCCACCGCCTTCGCTGCCGCTGCCACTCCCACCGCCCCCTCCAACGCCGCCACTGGCTGCCAGGCCGTTGGCACTGCAGCTGCCACCTAACCCCTGGCCGTTTCCGTTTCCGGTCGCGTTGCCGTTTCCGTTTCCGTTGCTGCTGCCGCTGCCGCGATGCTAAAAATGCATGGGAAAGTATTCGAAATCAATCAATTTTGTATTATTTTCAAATATTTTGTACATCTTTTGTTTGTAACTAATGTGTAAACTTAAAAACAATTATTAGAAATATGGAGGTGCCACCAAAATCACTAGAGTTTTAAAATCTCTTTAAAGTATGATGAGCAATAAAGATCTTTGTCTTTTGGAGGAATCCATCATACTTCCTCAAAATATTTATTAAAAATGATGGTAACATTTACAAATCTAAGACTAAGGGGACTACAAGATAGTAGGATAGAGTAATTACTTTATTATTGAACAGCAAAACATAATAACAATGCATTTCTAGTGATTTCTGTGGCAGCCCTAGAACTTATAAGATACAAAACTATAACTATTTTCTGGATTTAAAATATAACAACATGAGTAAAATAAATATGAGATGATATTTTTTTAATTTAAGTTTGTTTCTTCATTTGTTTTTGAGCCAAGTCAAAGAAATTTTAAATATAAAATCTTATAAATAGCATATAAAAATCCTATTCCCCCTCCACCTTGGCGGCATTCTTGTTAAACGAGAAACTCTGAGTAAAACGCGCCAAACGCATCATTCCCACTGCGATTGGGAGTTATCTGTGGGGCGAAAACATGTTCATTCAAGCGTAGATCTGTAATGAAAATGAAAGGAAACAAAGTATTAGGAACAATATTTCTTTTGGTAATTTAAATACTTTATTAAAATACTAAACATTTTTCAGTATTAATTAGGTTTAAAAGTCTTCTCAAATTTCGCTTTGGTTGGCATTTTTACTTAAAATTCCATCTCGAATTCCCCGACACACTTCTATGTCAATTAGCGTTTAAGTTCGCATTTCTACGCGGCCAACGGCTTATGTACCCCCCCGAAAGTCCAACCATTTTTCCCCCATTTCGACTTGTTCTGCCGCCCGAAAGTATTCCACCTGGTTGGCTGCGTGGAGGAAAGTGGGTTAGTCACATATTTGCCCACATTTGCGAGCTCTTACAGGGACAAACGCCAGCTGCACAAACTGACCCACATCCTGGCTGTTTGGCTATACGGCTAGATGGCTGCTGGATCCACTTTAGCTTCCCCTTAATTAGTCCAACGTCGGACATCGGAGGAACCGCTGATATATCGTGCGAGAGATAATGGAATGGAAACTGCTGATGATAGTGCTGCCCTGGCTGCTCATCTGCAAGGTCCTCTACAAGGTCGAGGACTTCACGGAGCCGGATGTCGCCTACCACAGCCTGGACTACCATCCCGAGGACTATATCGATTCCTTCACCGACTTTCAGAAGCATGATTACTTCCAGTACTGAGATGCAGTAGCCCCTACTTTTTGTTATTTTTGTTTAAGTGCCTTTAATAAAGAAGTGTTTATGTAAATCACCTTAAGTTATTTATGCTTTGCTAAAGCTGAAATCTTCACAGATTGTGTTCAAATCGGTATGACATATTGTCATGTTAAAAGATAAAAATTTATAAGAACATCTTTGTTAAAGTATTTTTTGGTTTACCAGCAAAGCTCTGAACATTTCCATATTCCAAAATAAAAATAAATAATAAATCATTTTTCTTTATTTTCTATAACAAACAAGAAAGCACGCTGTAGAGTTCGACTAGTAGATACCCTTCATTTTACCCCTGCACTTGGGGAATTTCACCAGTAAATATATAATATAATATAATTATAAAGCAGAAATACATAGCTTATTCATTGACTAATATAAGTGGTTTTTAGAGGTTGTTCTGCCTCATGCTTTCGATATGTACGAAACTTTTAATATTTTAATGGAAACGTATTTCATCGCTATTTCTAAAGTTATGTGCGTTTTATCTCAGAAACAGCAAAGTTAATCTGGTCATTTCTGTGGCAGAAAAAGGGGTCAAATTTCCCATAGTACCATGTTGCTCTGTCTGAATTAAAAAGCGTTGCATACACATAGGCAAAATATTTATATGCAGAGACAACAATAAGTTATTCAACTTACATAGGAGGAAAAGACCATACAAATTTTTCAAAAAATGTGGATCCCCAGAATTTTTTGGGTGTATTCCATTTTTTCATATACATAGAACCTGCTTGTGCTATCTATCTATAGAATATATGTTGGGCTATGTTATAGGACTCCTACGAGTCAAGGATATACAAATCAGATGTGTTAAACATTCGATACACAGATGTTGTATTACTTAATGTAAAAATAAAGGTAAACAAAAAATAATTTAGCAAATAACACCCATTTTATTTCGATTAGTTTTTTGTATCCTACAGAAAATGGATAGTTGGTAGATATTAATCGATAAACTGTTAAATAAGGTCTATTATAATTTAAAAAACCTCATGGGAAAGACCAAACTGGCTTTTAACCTAAGTATTTCCGCACATTAACTTCCAGGCCAGCTAAATTTTGCACCTCGCCCCAAGGCCACAGAATCTTTGAACAAGTGAAAGAGCAAGTTTGCGAATATTTTTGCATTAAAATAAAATTTACGCAAAATAATTATCAAATATTTACACAATTGACAGAAAACTCCTTTGCACTGCTCAAAATGGAATACTAATATGCTAACAAAGAAAAGTGACCTTAAAAACGATGCTTTACCAACCATTTCTCAAATTTTTGCATACGGATATTTGCAAAGCCCAACTTAATTTAAACAATAACAAGGGTAAACAATTGGTTTGGCTAAAACTTATTGCTTCGTTTTTATATTTGTCTTGTTAAGAAAATAAAACTAGAAATGGCAAGGTACTTGAATGGATTTTGGGAGCATACTTTCGCGAGAAGAAGTAATAAAAAATAATAATCATTATTGAACTAAAATAATAATGCGAGTTACTCATAATAGTGTTTTATCAGAAATAAATTTTCGGTGTACCCGATTCCGGGAAAACAGTAGATCTGATTTTATCTTGTCGGTTAAACTTAAATTTTTTTCCAAAAATGTAGTTTGTTGGAGCAAAAAAAAATGTTGTTGAGCTTTGAAAAACTATTTATGATATTTGAATTTAGACAAATTGTTCTCCAGAAATCGTATTCGCAAGACAGTCTATGACCTTGTTACTTTAAAATTTTGTAAACCTTGCAGAGGCTATTACCTTGTATTTCTTTGATTTAGAAAACATTTATTTTTAAACACAAAGAGGAGATTTTGAAAATGGCTTTTTCCTAATGGGGAATTTTTAAATAAGCATTTAAATATTTTTTTAAAAACTTTCAAATAACAGGTAATTTGACGTTGAACGCCAAATATCGCTTTTAAAGGGTCCAACTTTATTTGATCGATATTTACTTGGTCAAGAAAATACATCGTTCATGTAACGCAATTTAATAAGTTATCATTTTTATGACTTAAACTTAAAGTTTATGAACTCAGTTTTGTTGTATAATTCTTTAAATTTGCCTTAAACACGAAAGACAACAGTATTACTTAAGGATTAAAAATAAAAATTGGATCTAATGGTGGTAATGCCGGGGCCGGAAGTGGAAGCTCCCTTTTATACCAGATCTCGCATCTGGGTTTAGCCACTTGTGCCAAACGGTGTCGGCAAGTTTTGGCCGAAACAAAGGGAGTGCTTTTGGCAACACAAAATTTGCGAATTATTCGGTATTTTGCGCAATTGTTCAAACAGCCACGCTAGAGAAGTGCAAATATATAATTTAATATTTATGAATTGCGAGATTTTCCAATTGAATAACGTATATGGGATTTTTTTGCAAATCTTATATAATTTGATTTCTTTGTGAGATTTAGTATAAAAGACCACTGCCTGCTGTCTTCTGGCATCAGTTGCCCAGCCACTGGCCATCTAACCATTTGAAAACCACAATGAGGTATATCTGTGCCCTCCTGCTTCTCCTGGCCACCGTTGCCAGTTTGGTAATCGGGCAGACCACCAACAGCACCACCACCACCACCACCACCACGACCACGACCACCACCACAACCACAGCGGCCCCAACTACGACGACCACCGCCAAAACGAAGAGAGTTCATCACTATAGATACAGTGTCAAGAGGGCAGGGGAAGTTACGAAAACTCGTAGGCGCAGGCGCAGGGGTGGCTCAAGCGACTGCGACAGCTCCGCCAGCAGCACCAAGAGTCGCAGCAGCAGCAGCAGCAGGAAAAGCAGCAGAAGCAGCAGCAGCAGCAACAGCAGCAACAGGCGCAACAGCCGCGCCAGTCGCAGTAGAGCCCGTCGCTCCCGCCGGTCCTCCAAATGAAGAGCCCCGCGAACCCAGGACCACCCTACTACACCCAACACACCTATCCTGATCCCAAACTGCCAACGAAATCCTATTTTTTTTTTATAATTTCCTATTTTCAAAAACATATTTAAGGCAATTACATCATGTCGATATTGATACAAGGTGTTTTTTAAATAAACCACTGGAAAACCAGAAAATAACTAGTTTGAAAATTATTTTATTCATAAGCAATAAAAAATAGAGTCCCTATCTCTATTCCTAAAAAATGGTAGATTTTAGTCTGCAGAAAATATATTCAAGAAATGTATATTTCAAGACTAGGTCATAAAGTTGTATTTATAAATGTTTTTGACAAAAATGACGTATACATCACGTATGTCTGGTATAATTTAGTCCCAAAAAATAGTTTACTTGTTCAAAAAGGTAAAGTAAATAAAAAAAGTTGGTGAAAATTTACGCCATTTGAACTAAAATAAATGTAAGATCAAAGCAACAGTACGTATGAGTAATTTTTATTTTTGAATTTTGTAGAAAGGTCAACCATAAATGACATTGGCTTCAATTTTTCGTAAATTGCACTTTAACATGAATGGTATCTTAAAATCATAATTAAATTGTATCGTATATATGGTTATTACATATTTTCTGACTTAAGACCGTACTTCCGATTTTCTGTTAATAACAATCTATATTAAAACGCATGAATATCAAAGCGTAAACTCAAAAATTTGTAAAGGTATGGTCTTAGGTGGTCTCATTTTAAAGTCTTCTTTGACAAAAATGCACTTATTTCAATATTTTAATTTCCATTTCAATTGCTAATGACCATATACCTAAAATAATCCTAGACAAGATATCCCTGAAGAAATGAAAATAAATTTTCAATCCCTTTTTTCAACCCCCTTTAATGTTAAATAGTTTTAAGTTTTCGGAAGTTCCTGATCGTTCTAGAAAGCACAACTTCACTTATTAGGTCACTATTATAAAGAGGCACATCTCAAATAAGTTCTATACGTATTCATTTTGATCTGCTTTTTGTATTGCTGTATATTTTCAATACACTATAGAGTAGTTTTCAGTACACTGTAGAGTTTTGGTTTTTGCTAAACTCACTCATGAGTACCTTAAAACTAAAGGTAAACAACTTACCTTCTTATCTTAAAAGCTTTTTAATTGGTTCAAATTTTTGCTTACACTTCTTAAAGAGAAATAATTTAGAGCTCACATGCCTTTTGACCCGCAAATGTAGTATACTTTTGAGAGAATCGTATTTATCGGTAAAAATCGTGCCATGGATGTTTAAACAATTGTGCAAAAACCAAAAGTTGCGAATTTTGTTTGGCCAAAGCGGTTTCTTTGTTAGGCTGACACAGTTTGGCGGAAGAGGATAAACCCAGGTGCGCGATCTAGTATAAAAGGGAGCTTCCGATATCCGAAACAGTATCAGTTGCAAGGCATCTAGCAATCCAACCACCCAGCAATCCAGCAATCCCTCGACATGAAGATCACCTTGGTACTCGTGCTCCTCGCCATCTGCCTCGGCTGTGTGATGATCCACCAGTCGGAGGCTCAGACCGCCACCACCACCACCACCGCCGCCACCACCACCACTTCCGCCGCCGCCACTACCACCACTTCCGCCGCCGCCGCCGCCGCCACCACCACCACCACTGCCGCTACGACCACCACTACCGCCGCCTCCACCACCACTACCACTTCCGCCTCCGCCTCCTCCACCACCACTACCACTGCATCGCCATCTTCTACACAAAAAAAGAAGACGGTAGTCCAGCGCAGCGGAACGACAGTGAAACCCGGAAGGCAGATTATAATTACTAGCAGTAAGGGAGGACAGGGTTGCGGTTGCGGTTGCGATTGCAAGTCTTGCAAGTGTGGCAAGAGTGGCAAGTGTTGCAAGAGTGGAAAGAGTGGCAAGAGCGGCAAGAGCGGCAAGAGCGGCAAGAGCGGCAAGAGTTGCAACAAGAGCACGCAGAGCAGCGGCATAAAGGAGTGGTTCAAGTTCTGAAGGACCGAAAATCAACCAAAACCAACCACGCCAATCCAGATGCTAACTCGATCACAATCCTAGATCCAATTTTATTTTTAGTCCATAAGCTTATCAATATTGTTACCATTCGTTTATAAGGCAAATAGAAAAAATCATTCAAAAAGTACTTACTTTAATTATGGGAAAGGAAGGTATAGCCATTAGTGATTCAATTCAATGGAGTATTGATGTACTGAAAATGTGCTGATGATGGAAACTGACTATCTAAAATCTGTGAACGGCAGTCCAAGTAGTGACGAAGCGCATCTATATATAGCCGCAGAATTGATGTTTTGCATTCACCTTTTGCACAATAGATACGCCAATCAAAAGGTATCGTCAAACTAAAAGTATTGCATACCAAGACTTTAAAAAGGGGAATCAAATTGATATAAACAAAAAACACCTCCTAGCGATGTAAGGGGTCGTGACGGTCGCACCTCCAACATTTCAAAAAGAATACCATCTAAACCTGATTTAGCAGAATTTGAAATACACATTTGAAATCGCTTACAGATCCTTTATGTACTTTCAAAACCTGCAGTGAAAAATAAAGAGAAATTCGGAATTATGTCTTAAAGTTGTTCTCAAAAATGACTCATACCGATTTCCCATTTCCAGCCTAGTTAACTAATTGACTTTGTTGGTGTACTTGTCAAAAAAGGAGAGTAAATAAGCAAACTGTTGGTTGAAATCTACGTAGGTTAAAATCAAATGCAACAGTACGTAAGAGTAATAAAAAAACAAGGCAAGCCGAAGTTTGTATACCCTTGCAGTTATAATTATTAAATTTAATTCAAAGTTTTTAAAAATCCAAAAAATATATATTCCCAATAGTATAAGATAATATGTCAAAAAACACCGAAGCTATAATTTGTTTCATATTATTTTCCCACCAGTTTTCAGATCGTTCCTATGGCAGCTATATGATATAGTCTTCCGATTTTGATGAAATTAAATTCGAAATTCAGAACTATTAAAAATTGTTATGTCCAAGCGTAGGAGGTTTTATATTAAACAAGGAAGAAAGCTATAGTCGAGTACCTCGACTATCAGATACCCGTTACTCAGCTAAGTCAGGGACCAAAGGGAAATGGAGATATACAAGCAGCAAAGCGAGATTAAAATGCGCCACCTACCGGCGGTAGACAGATTTAAGCGTTATGGGCGTTAAAGTGGGCGTGGCACGCTGCTGAAACAAACCTGCGCTGCGTAAGAAGCTCAGGAATCTGCACGCCAAATCTCAATAGCCTAGCTCTTATAGTTTCCGAGATCTCAGCGCTCATCCGGACGGACAGACAGACGGACAGACGGGCATGGCTAGATCGACTCGGCTAGTGATCCTGATCAAGAATATATATACTTAACTGGGTCGGAAACGCTTCCTTCTACCTGTTACATATTTTCCGACGAATCTAGTATACCCTTTTAATCTACGAGTAACGGGTATAAAACACCAAAGCTATAATTTGTTTCATATTATTTTCCCACCAATTTTCCGATCGTTCCTATGGCAGCTATATGATAAAGTCGTCCGATTTTGATAAAATTAAATTCGAAATTCAGAACTAATTAAAAAATGTTATTTCAAAGCGTATGAGGCTATATGTTAAAAAACACCAAAGATATCATTTTAAATTAATTTTTTTATTTAACGAATAACGGGTACAATTATTTGATCCATTGCATACCGATTTTATATTAAAAAACAACGTTTTTCGGTAAATGTTAAAATGTAGACTCAAAAATTAAAAAAAGTATGGTGTGTTAAAAGTCTTTTTCACGAAAGCTGCACTTATTTCAAAAACTTTGTTTTGCATTTCACATGCTTATGACATTATACCTAAAATAATCCTAAACAAGACATCCGGGAAAACATGAAAATACATTATAAATCCCTTGTTCAACACAACTTCACTAATTAACTCACTATTATAAAGTGGCATATCTTAAGTAAATTCTATACTTATTAATTTTGATCTGTTCTTTTTATTGCTGTATATTTTCAATAAAAAATTTTAAATATTTGTATGAAAATGAATACAAACAACTTTAAAAGATGTAGAGCTTCGCTTTATGCTAAACTCACTTATGGGTGCTTCAACACGAAAGGTAAACAACTTACATTCTTATCTTAGAAGCTTTTTGATTGGTACATATTTTTGATCACATTTATTCAAGAGAATTAATTTAGAGCTCACATGCCTTTTCACCCGCAAGTGTAGTATACTTTTGAGAGAATCGTATTTATCGGTGAAAATCGTGCCATGGATGTTTAAACAATTGTGCAAAAACCAAAAGTTGCGAATTTTGTTTGGCCAAAGCGGTTTCTTTGTTAGGCTGACACAGTTTGGCGGAAGAGGATAAACCCAGGTGCGCGATCTAGTATAAAAGGGGGCTTCCGATATCCGAAACAGTATCAGTTGCAAGGCATCCAGCAATCCAACCATCCAGCAATCCAGCAATCCCTCGACATGAAGATCACCTTGGTACTCGTGCTCCTCGCCATCTGCCTCGGCTGTGTGATGATCCACCAGTCGGAGGCTCAGACCGCCACCACCACCACCACCGCCGCCACCACCACCACTTCCGCCGCCGCCACTACCACTTCCGCCGCCGCCGCCGCCGCCACCACCACCACCACTGCCGCTACGACCACCACTACCGCCGCCTCCACCACCACTACCACTTCCGCCTCCGCCTCCTCCACCACCACTACCACTGCATCGCCATCTTCTACACAAAAAAAGAAGACGGTAGTCCAGCGCAGCGGAACGACAGTGAAACCCGGAAGGCAGATTAGAATTACTAGCAGTAAGGGAGGACAGGGTTGCGGTTGCGGTTGCGATTGCAAGTCTTGCAAGTGTGGCAAAAGTGGCAAGTGTTGCAAGAGTGGAAAGAAAGGCAAGAGCGGCAAGAGCGGCAAGAGTGGCAAGAATTGCAAGAAGGGCAAGAAGAGCAGCGGTATAAAGGACTTGTTAAAGTTGTGAAGGACCTAAGATCAACCAAAAATCAACCACGCCAATCCAGATGCTAACTCAGTCACAATCCCAGATCCCATTTTGTTTTTAGTCCATAAGCTTAGAAATACTGTTATCTTTCGTTTTTAAGGCAAATATAGAAAATGATATAAAAATAACTTACTTTTAATATGGGAAAGGAAGATATCACCACTAGTGATTCAATTCAATGGACTATTAATGTATTGACTATTTAGTAAAGGGGTATAAAGTATTGGTCGGGAAGTATGTTTCGGGAGGAAGGCAGCGTCTCCGATCCTATAATGTATATAGCCATGTCCGTCTGTTCGTACGTCTGTCCCTTTTTGCGCAAACTAGTCTCTAGTCTTAAATCTATCGTTATAAAAACTTCCCAAATTGTTGGTTTCTATTTCAAGTAGTATATAAGTCGGATCGATTCGAAATATTCAACTACACTTGTTCGAATAAGTATTTCGACGAAAAAAAAGTTAAATATACTCATAATTTGAACTTACTTCATGAACATTTTGGCATCAATGGAAAGGTCATCTCAATTGCGTTTGAATGATTCAATATTATTCTTAACCCATTTAGCACTTATTAAAAATGTCAAATTTTTTGAAAGTATATATTTTTTAACTGCAAAAGGGATATTTCAAAAATCTCTTGCATTTATTATTTATGATTATTATTACCTATTAACTAGTGCTCCGATTTGAACAATTTTTGAGATGCCGTTAGGTATTGACAAGCGGAGTAAAATAGTTTTGGGGGGCTTATGGGCGTTAGAGTGGGCGTGGCACCTTGTGGAAATACACTTGCGATGCGGAAGGATCTATAGAATCTACAGTTTTAATCCCAACTTTCTAGCTTCCGAGATATCAGCGATCATACGAGCGATTTTTTGTGGTCTGTGGGTTTTTGGTCGGCTTGAGGGCGCTAGAGAGGGTGTGGCAATATGAATCAATTGATTGGTATTGAGGAGAGTAATACCTATCAGCTAAAATTTGTATTCTAGCATCAGAATTGTTTTGTTGCCTAATCCCAAGCATACCATGCAGAAGGTCAAGAATGGGTTCGGAAGTGCTTCCTTCTACCTGCTACAAAATTTCCGACGAATTTAATATATCCTTTCGCTCTACGAGTAACACGTCTAATAATAAAAGTCAATTTTATTAAGCTTAAGAAATCCTTCAGGCCCTCTCTGGTAAAAATTGAAAGAACTGTGGTATTAAAAGAGTATGCAATAAAAAATGTGACTTGAAATCCAGGATCCGCCACTGAAATCCTCACATAACTCGAGATAAAATAGTTATAATAATGGCGGCGTTCATTTTATATGGCTAGATTTTTTTCAAATCACTGAAGCAACAGTCCTTAAAAATTAAAAATGGTCTAACTAACATTGACTTTTCCTATAACTGCAAGGGTATAAAATCTTCGTCTTGCCGAGGCTAACTCCCTTTTTGGTTTTCAAAGGAAATTTCAAAATCGTATACAATTGAATACAAATAACCTGGTTTTACAGGATGTAGAATTTCGGTATTTACCAAACTCACTGTGCTTCAAACCTAAATGTAAGCAACCATACCTTTTCAATTGGTTTATATTTTTGCTCATATTTGATCAAAAGAATTGACTTAAAGCTGCATGCCTTTTGACCCGCAAATGTAGTATACTTTTGAGAGAATCTTATTCATCGGTGAAAATCGTGCCAGCTGTGGACGCAACTATTTTGCATGTTTAAACAATTGTGCAAAAGTCAAAAGTTGCGAATTTTTGTTTGGCCAAAGCCGTTTCTTTGTTAGGCTGACACAGTTTGGCACAAAAGAATAAGCCCAGGTGACAGATCTTGTATAAAAGGGGGCTTCCGATATCCGAAACAGTATCAGTTGCAAGGCATCTAGCAATCCAACCATCCAGCAATCCAGCAATCCCTCGACATGAAGATCACCTTGGTACTCCTCGCCATCTGCCTCGGCTGTGTGATGATCCACCAGTCGGAGGCTCAGACCGCCACCACCACCACCACCGCCGCCACCACCACCACTTCCGCCGCCGCCACTACCACCACTTCCGCCGCCGCCGCCGCCGCCACCACCACCACCACTGCCGCTACGACCACCACTACCGCCGCCTCCACCACCACTACCACTTCCGCTTCCGCCTCCTCCACCACCACTACCACTGCATCGCCATCTTCTACAGAAAAAAAGAAGAAAGTAGTCCAGCGCAGCGAAACGATAGTGGAACCCGGAAGGCAGATTAGAATTTCTAGCAGTAAGGGAGGACAGGGTTGCGGTTGCGGTTGCGATTGCGAATGTTGCAAGAGTGGAAAGAGTGGCAACTGTTGCAAGAGTGGAAAGAGTGGCAACTGTTGCAAGAGTGGCAAGAGCGGCAAGAGCGGCAAGAGTTGCAACAAGAGCAACCAGAGCAGCGGCATAAAGGAGTGGTTCAAGTTCTGAAGGACCGAAAATCAACCAAAACCAACCACGCCAACCCAGATGCTAACTCGATCACAATCCTAGATCCAATTTTGTTTTTAGTCCATAAGTTTATCAATATTGTTATCATTCGTTTATAAGGCAAATAGAAAAAATCATTCAAAAAGTACTTACTTTAATTGTGGGAAAGGAAGGTATAACCATTAGTGATTCAATTCAATGGAGTAGTTCTGAAAATGTGCTGATGATGAAGACTGACTATCTAAACAATTGTCTTTAAAAATCCTTTTTAGTTGTATTTATTTATTTACGTAGTATACATTTATTTTAATTTATTTAATGATTAATTAATTTACTTCAGAATACATCTTAAACTTAAGTTAGCAGAATTCCCTATTAGCAAATAAATAAAAGCAAAAGAATTTTGAAATACACATTTAAAATTGCCCACAGAGTTAAGGAGTTTCAGCACCTGCAGTGAAAAAAATAGACTGAAATTCGAAAATGATTCGAAGAAGAAGGTAAGATATTCTACCCCAAAGTTGTATATAGCCGTTTGGTTTTTCAAAAACTATATTTTATTATACTTTCATATTAAAAGTTTTATAAGTGAGTATTTTTTAGATCAAAATAAAGAAATCGAAGATCAGGAGTCCAAATAATATATAATCAAACAAAAACACCGAGCTATTTTTGCAAATTTCCCGCCAAGCTAGCGGATTTTTTTCAAAAACAAAAGCTTCTTAAAACATATATATACCATAAAGGGATTCATACAAACCCACAAACAAAGGAACAAGAACTTTCATTTTGGAATGCCCCCCAAAATATTACTTTTGGAATAACTTTCAAACGGAGCATCGGATTTTATTATATGAGATGTAATTCGACGCGTATTCTCAGTTATAATATAACTAGGTTAACAGCAGGGTGCATTTATCCGCACCGGACCAAACAGCTCAAATTTTCTAAATGTTCACTTTTACACTTTCACCGCTCTTTCTCGCAAATCAATTAAGATTTCTAAAGTCTTGGTATGCAATCTTCTTCTTGCAATACCTTTCGATTGGTGCATCATTCGTTTCTATCACAGACCATCACAGCAGATTTTTTCACACTCTCCTGGTGCGCTTCGTCACTACGTGGACTGCTGTCCTCAGTGATAATATGTATAATTGTATTTGTGATTATCTTAAAATCCAGTCAGTCGACTACAAACAAGAATGCCCTAAATTTCAATAGTTTAGGCTTTCAAAAAAAATGTGAATACCTTGTCATTTCCACTAAAACATACAAATTAAAAAATATATTGAAAAATAAACGAAATCACAGTGTCATTAATCGTATTAATCGTATATCGCATCAAATTTAAAATCAATACTACAAAATATATACACATCTTGATTTGTTGGAACTCGCAAAGTGCATTTTTGTTACCGTATAGCACGCGTCCACAAATCTACATTAAATACATTTTTATCTTTACTATTAATGAACATCACACATATTAAAAAATTGTTGTTGGCACGCTCGACTACCCCATAGATGGCGCCACAAACAATTCTATTGGTGCAGCAAGCAAATAAAGGCTCTAGCGCCATCTACAAATTTATATACTGGCAGTGACGCCATGTCATAATAATCTTAATATCTTCTAAGTAATGGTCCAAATAGACAAAAATGAACAGGATTTCCAAATTTTTTTTTTTAATTTTTGTATTTGCCTTATAAACGAATGATAATAATATTGATAAGCTTATGGAATAATAAACAAAATTGGATCTAGGATTGTGATTGAGTTAGCATCTGGACTGCCGTGGTTGGTTTTCGGTTGATCTTAGGTCCTTCACAACTTTAACCGCTCCTTTACACCTTCTTACCCTTCCTGCTCTTCTTGCCACTCTTGCCACTCTTGCCACTCTTGCCACTCTTGCAACTCTTGCAACTCTTTCCACTCTTGCCCTTCTTGCCGCTCTTGCCACTCTTGCAACCGCAACTATTGCAACCGCAACTCTTCTTGCATCCCTTATTTCTACTAATCATAGTCTTGACTGCGGGTTTGGAAACCGTTCTCGAGAACGTTCTTACGGTAGCCTTCTTTGCTGACGATTTTGTGGTAGTGGTAGTGGTAGTGGTCGAAGCGGTGGTCGAAGCGGTAGTGGTCGTAGCGGCAGTGGTGGTGGTGGTGGCGGCGGCGGCGGCGGCGGAAGTGGTGGTAGTGGCGGCAGCGGAAGTGGTCGTGGTGGTGGTGGCGGCGGTGGTGGTGGTGGTGGCGGTCTGAGCCTCCGACTGGTGGATCATCACACAGCCGAGGCAGATGGCGAGGAGTACCAAGGTGATCTTCATGTCGAGGGATTGCTGGATTGCTGGATGGTTGGATGGTTGGATTGCTGGATGCCTTGCAACTGATACTGTTTCGGATATCGGAAGCTCCCTTTTATACTAGATCGCGCACCTGGGTTTATCCTCTTCCGCCAAACTGTGTCAGCCTAACAAAGAAACCGCTTTGGCCAAACAAAATTTCGCAAGCAGAATTTCGGCGTGCGAATTTTTTGCGCAATTGTTCAAACATCGAAAGTAGGACTGCACTCATACGTCATTTTATGTTTAAGATATATTCATTAAGAATAAGTTATTATATTTATATATTCATTTCTTTCAACAATTATTTAAGTGTGGATTTTAAATCTAGATCTCCAATAGAGTGGACGAAAATATGTCGGCGAAATTTAGCCTAAAAGTGCATGAAAGTCACATATTCTGTTAAGATATAACTAAAACCTATTTACTTTCTGGTCCAGCTGATCAATTGATAACTGTTATTTGTGTCATGATCAAGGGGCCCAAATAAACACCGTCAATACAAAATCAGACTTCCTTATTCATAACTCATTCAAAATGCAGGAGAGCATTAAATATTTATTCATCAAGGCTTTTTGGGCCTCCAAAGTTTTGTTTCCACTGAAATCCATTAGCACAAAACCGAACTCGGGGAAACCCGCAAAAGCCCCAAAAGGAAAATTTAGCAAGCGGCAAAATACTCGTGAGCAAAAACTTTTCATCGCCAAAAAAGGCGGCGGGGGAAACTCGAAAAGCTGTTGCCATAGATACCGCACACATACACACACACATATGTTTAAGGAAAAATATAAAAAAAAGAAAACTAAAAAAAAACGAAAACCGAAAACAACAGCCACGATTTCCATAACAAAAGAGGCGTCAGGTGGTGCCCAGAAAATTTGGAGCACGAAAACCACTGAGCAAACAGACAGAAACAACTCCACTCGAGTGAAACTCTTGTGCTGCCATTGCTCAATTAATTATTGTCTCCAAAATAAAGCATACTTTTGCGGGCTGGCAGTAAGAGCAGCCGTCAGATATGCAAGAAAAACGGCTGGTTATTTAAAGTATTTGTCTGATAAACAGCAGCATTATTGGCAGAACTTAAAACTATTAAGAAAAATATACACCAATCAAGTTTAAGTCAATATGGAAGAGCTCGTATAATGTGGAAAATAAGGATAACCACTATGGTCTTACTTTTCCGGCGAATGTGGCCATTTTTTCGGCCAGTCTACAAAGACCAAGTATTTCTATGTTAGGCTATCTATTGTGCTCATTATTCAAACAAGTACACTCAGACAAAAAAAATTAACTATTTCGTGCTTGAATCAAGTATTTTCGGTGACAAAACTTCGCCAAGCATGGAAAATACCGAACCCGAGAAAAAAATGCAGCTTTCATGCATGAGTTTTCTAGACCGAAAATATTCGTTTTCAGAACCTTTCGGTCTACAATCAAGTATGAATAATTCTTAAATCTAGTCATATTTGTACTATAAGCAAGAACAATTTAATAATAAAGTTGTAATGTTACAGGCATGATTTAAGGAAGAATAATTCTTAAATCAGTAAACATATATTGTAAATGCAAATTGGGTTTAAATTATGGCGTAAGAGAAATAGGTACTTGTAACTAAAAATAAAATAAAACTAATAAAATAAAATAAAATTACGACTTGCCGCTAACGGGCACTAACACTCTCTAAATCATTTGCCTTATATACCGAGCACTTTCAGAATACAGTTGGGAATTATTAGATACTTAAATCCAAAATGTGATCAATGTGAGAACTTTTTCAGCACGAATGTTCTTAAGTGGTAAGCATGAAATCGTTCTTAAATCAAGGCTGTTTGTGCTTGATTTTAGCACGATTTTTTTCCGTGAGTGTATTAAGGAATTTTTGTTATTTTCAAGAAAATCAAGAATTTTTTTATTCAAAAAAAGAAATCAACTCCAATATAAGATAATTTCAAGCGATAAAATCCATACTTCAATCGGAGCAATTCGGGAGCCTTGTCCTCGATAATTTTGCCATGCAAACGAGCACTTTTTTGCTACACAATCCGCTTGATAGAGCCATAAAGCAGGATGTACGTATATTTGTTATTGATTTTTATTGAGACATTTGCAAAATTAATGTCTATGATGCGGGAGGAAATGTTTGCACCCAGGAAACTCCCCCGACTTGTCGAATGATGAGCGGCATTAATAAATCAATAGCGTTTTGATGGCAAATAATTCGAGATCTGCTCCGGGGATGCAGCCACACACGCATTGGGGCACTCAGGATGGCCCACATCCTGCGTATCCTTTTGGCACATCCTCGCAATTCCCCACCGACCTTTGCCCTCTTGGACCTTCAATTGCGTGCTTGTGTGTGTTCGGGCCTTGATAAGCGACTTCCAATCGCCAAGGGCAGAGCACTCAGCGATAAACTGGATGTAAAAGAGGCAAGACCCATACAAATTAAATCTAATTTTATGAATTAAAAGGTTAATAAAAGCAAAAAAGGTGCCCAAAAAATTATAACATAATTATTGACAGCATTTTATTGGGAAACCACTTTAATTGATAAAGTGTTACCTATAATAGTTAGAATAAATATCCTGCAATATCCATTAAATCCTGTGCAAGACATATTGAATTGCATTATATATTTTTAAATATTTAGTCTTAGCCAATATTTAATATTATATTACTGAACTTACATAAACTTCAATCATTTTTTTAAAGTTTACAATGAAAAAATAGAAATCAAATCGAAAATATTAAAATTACTTGGGAAATTAAAGGATTTACTACTTTTTTATCAGTGTACCTAAAATTTTGGTTATTATAAAAATTGTAATATTTTTCTTTTTGTTGAGAATAATATAAATAAAAAACTGAAAAACCAGATATTTGATCACGTTTTTCGATGTGTAATCATGGTGCACCCAAAGTTGACTCTGCAAACTCGTGTCGAGTTATTTTATTGATTGATGCGAACAAATCCAGTTGCTGTTGCTCTGGCCAAAAAAAGGGAATAATAAAAAGAAAACAACCAACAAGCGAATGCCATTAATTTTGCTTGCAAGTCGCCCAGAATGGATCAAAATGGAAACACTGACTTGTTGTGGACCCAACTCCGTGACATAAAGGTCGATATGGGAATGATGGAGTGGGATATCGACATCGACACCGACATCACTGACCTGCTTTCCAAAGGGAGCTGTTCTCTGCTGAGCCCACTGAATTAATGAACACAGATCCAAACGAAAGTCGGGGGCTTAACTCGAATTTATATGATGGTTTTTTCAATTAAAAAATTCCCCTACAACTGGCATGCTTCACTTAAAACTTGATTCATTTATGTATTTTTATTCTTGGAATATTTTATTAAGATATGCCAGTCAAAACACTGAGATTTTAGGGCGGTAAAATGGAATTCAGACTTTAATTAAAAATAATCTTTATTAGTGATTTTACAAGCGTATACTTGCTAAATCAAGGCGTACAGGAAAAAGACAGATTGTTTTGAGCATCTTGTTTTCTTCGGAAAGTATGTAACAGTTAGAAGGAATCGTTTCCCGTCTAACGCCGACATTTTAAAATATTTCGTTACAATTTAAGTTAGATTTTTTTCTTATTATCAATACCCATCTACATACCAACACATTTTTAAAAATAACGGTCTATATATTATTTTGTCATTAACTATCCGATCGTTTCTATGCCAGCTTTATAAAAAAAGGTCGTCCGATTTGTTTTAAATTTTATTCGAAACTCTAAAATATTAAAAGAATCATATTCCCAAGAGTAGAAATTAATATGTCAATGTTATTATTATTTATATTATAACCTTTGCAAGAGTATAATAATATTTTTTTTACAATTAGAGGTGTATTTTTTTTTGTGATTTGCCTTTTCACTTGAGATTAATTATTTTATTTTTTACTTTTATTTACATTTTTTTTACATTGATTGGATCATTTACTTATTGAAATTAAAATATATTATTATTATTTTGGCTTGTTTTTAAAGAATTGTTTTGAGATACTAGCAACTCTGTTGCGAACATGAATACTTGGCATTGCTTTCCACGTGCATTTTCCCTCTAGTTTATGCCCGTTTGTTTGGGCCAATTAAATACGCAAATAAAAAAGGGAAATCCCAGTCGGAAGTGGGGGAAATACGACACGTGTACACATATGGTGTGGGCTGGAAAATTGGGCGTTATTTCGATTTATCCAGGCGGCGCCATTTGGCCATTTCACTTGGCTTTCGAGCCGTCAGAGAAATCGGAGACCGCCTGTGGATTCCCGCTGTTACTTTGCCCCTAATGAGCAGTTTAATTATGCACGTTGATTGATTGATTCTAATTGATGGAAAGCCAGCAGCCGCAGAGACCACAGCTCGTGATTGAGCCGTCCAACGTATTCGGCCAGACGTTCAAGTTAAAGTTTAAGTGCATCTGGCCGTTAAGTCCAGCAAAATATCGCCACATTTTCCTTTTTGGCCATGTTTGCACTTCCGTTGCGCAGGGAACAATTACTAAAAGCGCATAAATTTGCACAAAAAATATGCAACGAGGATAAAGCTGTTAAGAGCTGCAGCTGAATATATAATATTTACTTCAGAGTGATTTATAAGTCTGGGCAAAAATGGCGAGTTTACTAAATGAATTATTCACATAAAGTAAATCGTGTTGGGTTTTCAGTAAAATTATGGAATTTTAAGCAAGAGAAATTTTTGAAATCAAAGTGTTTAATTTATATAAGTCTTTGAAGGTTGTACACAAATTACTAGGGACATTTATTGTTCTACTTAAAGTTTAAGCAATTAAATCAAATTGACTTTGTTTCTTTTTTAAATATTTCTAGACAACTTTTTAAGGAGTATGAAAAGTTCATAGACAATTTGAAAACATATGTGGCCCAGCGGTTAAAACGTTCCATTCTTCTAGAACAACAATGTTTCTTTCTTTATAAACAAAGTTCACGTTCAATGTCGGTTTATTAATAACTTTTTTTTTTGTATGGCATTTATGGGAAATCAGTCTACAAATCGGCAGATATTCTCCAAAATACAACATCATTTGATCAATGAATTGTGATACGATAAGTAGCTCAATGAAGATTCATCGTAAAATATGAGTAGTAAATAGAAAGCGGCAAATACTAAAAATTTTGGCGCGTGTTTGCCTATTAAAATGGGGAGTTTTTGCTGGGTAAATAGTCGGCATTTGTGCAAATAGCTCTTTGGCATCCAAGAGCAGAAGGAAAAAAAAAAGAAACTGGATTCGCTCTAACGTACACATATGTTGTATTGTGATCATTGTTAAGCCTCAATGACGCAGGGGCACCCTCGGGCCGGTATAAATAGGGTGAACGGATGCTGGAAAAGATCATCCAGTCCAGTCCATCCAACCATAGACACAAGATGAAGCTCCACTGGCTGCTTTTGGCAGTTATCTGCATTGTGAACTACAGCCTCACCACCGGCAGCAGCCCCACAACCGAGTCCAGCACCAGCACCACCACCACCACCGCCTCCTCCACCTCCAGCTCCGACAGCAGCTCCACGTCCACGAGCTCCTCGACCTCCTCGACGGCCTCCTCCTCCTCTTCTACCAGCGAGACGGCCACCAGCAGCAGCGATACGGCCACCACAGCCACCGCCTCCAAGACCAGCTCCGCCACCACCTCGACCACCAACAAGAAGTCCGCCGCCGCCAAGAAGAAGGCCCGCGCCGCCCGGAGGCGCCGTGCCGCCCGCCGGAAGCGTCGTGCCGCCGCCAAGAGGCGGGCCGCCGCCGCCAAGCGCAGGCGCAACAGGGGCTAAACTGGACTCCCATCCGATCCTCCAGCCTGGACAGGACCTAAGCCTTTTTTTTCCCCATCTCCCCTAACAGAATAATAAATATGGTATAACATTGCATACAAAATATTTACAAGTACTTCGAGTTGAAAGTGGGGGAATCCTCTAATGTATTATATAGTTATAATATTATGAATGGTTTGAATGCAGCCTATTTGCCTTTTCAACTCCATCATTGGCTTAACAAATTGTGGTTTCCCATCTGCCGCTTTGGATCCTTAGATCAGACTAATAAGTCTGGTATAAAATTGTAAGCATTATACATATTTTCCAATTTTTTAAGTTATAAATTGGCAAATCTCAAGCAGTGTAAGTATAAAACTTCATAACAAAAATATTACAAATATTTAATGGAAGGTTCTTAAAATGTGGATTAATACAGCCTAATTTAATTTTCAGCTCTATAATTGCCTTAGAAAATTATATAACATTGCATACAAATTATTTACAAGTTTTCAAGCTCGAAACTGGGAAGTGTTAAACCTTATAAACCACTATAAACAATATTTTAAGGACAACAACTTATGGCTTGAAAGCAGCCTAACTTCTTTTTGAAATCAGTATTATATGTAAATGGTATTAGATTTCAGTAAATGATTTTAGAAGAGGTGAATGAACGAATGTATTTCGAAAGTTTACTTTATTTTAAGACAAACCTTTTTGAGACCTTGATCAGCACTTTAAAAGTAATACCAACTATACTAAACAGTTTTACAGAAATATTAAAATATTCTCAAAACATTTTTGGATTGGGTTTGCACAAATGTTAATATCTAGGCGGTTTAAAGGTATTTATATTGGATACAAGTATTTTACTAATTATCTTATTTTCAGAAATTCCGGGTTGGTTTTGCAAGTTGCGTTAAAAAGGGATTCAAAGTCAAATGAAGTCTGTTTAAACTGCTAGAAAATAAAGAGCAGTCCTAATAATATTCAACTTTCAAGCAATTTTGTTAAGTAACAAAACCGAAATGGATAATAAATCCAAATAATATTAAAAGCCCGTAATAACTAAAGCGTAACCATACAAAGAATTTTAACAACCAAGACTTTTCACGAAAACAATCCGAAACAAAGGGAAAATGAAAATGGAGACAGCAGAGGAACTGGAATTTAACGGAGCATTTGAAGTGCACCGAATCGGTTAGCTTGATTACTTTTGTTGCTGCTCCAAGGGTGAAAGGTTAAAGTTACGCCCAGAAATGTACTCATATTCGTACTCACATACATGGTCTGCAATAAAAAGCAACAAGTTGAAAGACCACGCAAGCAAAAAGCAAAAGCCATCAAGGTCCCCATTCCGAGTCCATTTCCATTCGCAATTCTCATTCCCAATCCGAATCGGAGACCTCGACCACTGAAACCCATCAGCAATTCGAGCGCATAAAAATGGTTATAACCCAAGAATGGTCGTAATGTGTTCCCTTTATGACGAAGTCAAGAATACTCTGGAGGAACTAACTTTTATTATCATATCATATGATTTAAAATTATAATAATTCACTGTTCTTGCATTTTTAACACAGTGCGGACTAAAAACTATAATAAATTAATATTTCAAAATACTAAATACATTTTAGTGACATAAAATAGTTATAAAATTTGAAGCATACTTTCAGGAACCTTTAAAATATTTTTGAAATCTCTTGGAACTAACTTTTATTATCATATATGATTTAATATTATAATAATTTATTATAAATAAATATTCCAAAATACTTTATACATGATTTTATAAAATTTAATGCATACTTTTAGGAACCTTAAATATATTTTTGAAATCTCTTGGTTTTTGATAATTCTCATATATCCTTGGGAAGGAAAGTGTGTGAGTATGGAAAACAATAACAAGCAGCAAACGCAGTACAATGGGCACAACTGTTGCTGTTCTTGTTCTTTCCCCTTCTTCTTCCTTTTCTCCGCTTTCTTCTCCCTCGTCTTCATCCCCTTTCAAGCAAGGAGGAGGGGGTGGGGGGGACAAGGCGGAAGAGGAGAAAGCGTGAAAGTGACATTCGTCTTCAGACAAGGCAAACGGCATTAGAAAGAGACGGAAACGGAGCGGAAGAAGAAGACTCAACGCAACAAAGAACATGGGCATACATGTGTGTGCGAGCGAGAGGGGGCGAGAGACGGTGGGAGTGAATAGCAAATACAGGGTAAATATTTTATAAAGCATATATATTTTTAAAAACTACTATGGATAACTTTAATCTATATTTTTTGAAATATCTTTTACTCTTTTCTACCCAGTTTTCAGGCCCATAGAGGTAGTCAAAGGACCTCCTGGTTTTTCCCCAATTTTATTCACATCCTTGTCATTTCCCCAAGGACACCCTGTACTTATGTATATTGATATGCTGCGCTTCGTGGCCATTGATGTTGATATGCTCGACGTGACTTATATTATATGTACGCACATGCATACGAATAATACGAACAAATGTTCTTCGCCCATAAACCACCCACCAGAAAGAGAGGGCCATACGGTCCGGTGAAAGAGAGGGGCATACAATTACGCCTTGTTTGTTCTTGTCGGTTTTACTGTGTATTTTTTTTTATATTTTATGTTTTTTTCCGTGGTTTTGTGTGCTCTTATTATTGTTATTGTAACAACGCCCAATTCTTTGGAAATTTCAGCTTACTGCTTATTATTTAGCAAATACTTGAGGCCATCAGCGCGCCCACGCGAAATTTGAAAACACTATAAGCTCCCTGGATATGTTGGGTAATTTTTGTATTCTTCAGTTCTCTCGGTTTTTTGCACCGTATTTTTGCTTTTTTAGGGGAGCCACACAATGGTTTGCCAGCTGTGAGGCTTAAAATTGTGAGTTGACGAGTGACAAGTGTCTTAGTGGGGGAGAAAGTGAAGAAGGGGGTCTTAAATCAACAAGTGTGTGGACGGGAAAGATAATTCCCATAGCCAACTGAATACTTCAGCAGCTCTATCTTTCTTTTGTTCAAATTCCTGAAATTTAGGTTGATCATACACTTTTAGTTTTTTTTGTGATTTTACAGAGCTGGGCTTATTTGTTATCATATTATTTGTAGAACAATTTTAAAGTCGATAACAAATAGAGAGTGCAAGAGGTTCGAAATAAATTATTAAGGTGTCTAAAAGTAGGCAACAATATATTTTATATAATTTAAGAAAGTCTTGTTTTTTGTTTCATTGTAATTTCCCTTTCCTTTTTCCCTAATCAAGTGAAATTAAGTCAAGAACAAGAACATTTGGAATGGCAAACCGACTTATGTAAGTCCAGTTATGTCAAGTTTAGTTACACTTGAGGCTGGTTAAGGTCGGCTAATAGAAGGTCCTGCGAGAAACAATTAGCTTAGCTTGGCCCAGTTCCCTCGACCTTTTGGCCAAATTGCTTTGCCTAATTTGGTTTTTTCTCCGGCTCGCCTTTCGAATACCGAATTCGTATGCAAAGGGCGCATAAATTTAATCAGTTAGTAGGGTGTTTTTTTTTCTTTCGGTTTCGCTTGCTTCGCTCCTCTGCTTTTTGCCAACCTTAAGGGGGGCGTTTTGTGGTGGGCGTGGCCAGGTCGTAGGTGTGGTCAGAGCCCTGCGTGTTGGCTAAGACAGAAAACAGACACACGGACACGACATTGGCATACGTGCACTGTCAATAAATGTGTTCCCAAAATTGGTATATAAATGTATTGCAGTTAAATATTTATTTGATAACTATCATGTATTAATATTAATATTTTAAAGGTCTGCTAGTTAAAATGTACGCATTATGTAATATTCTTTGTTATACAATATACTTTAATTTATTTACTTATTTATTGTACTAGGTAAGGGCTTACTTATTTTCGATTTTCCATTGGTTCTGTAATTTTCTGTTATTTTCGAAAAGGTTTGGGTGTTAAAAGCTAGAACTCTCTAAACAAGTTAATATCAATATAACTTTTTTTATAAGATGTGAATTTCTCTCAGTGCAGGCTCAGAGCCCGCATGTTATGTACATGCCAACGCAGACAGGCAAATGGACACACAGACAGACAAATAGACAGATAGACAGACAGGCGGAAATAGAGAGAGGAAAGTGGGGAAAGGAAATGGAGGATAGAGGATGGATAGAGAAATTCCCTTTGGCCTTCTTTGATTTTTGGGGATTTTCAATACCCTACAGCTACTGGAAAATCATGTTCTATTATCTCTAGAATTTTAAAACATTAATTTCTATCTCGATAAGCGCATATTTAAAAAACGAAAATATTATGGCATTAGGACTAAACAATTATCAAAAACCCTTATGACATGTATTTAGTTTACTTTCATTTATAGTTATTTCTTAGAAGTAAACCTTTATTGCTGAGCAAATCATCCAAGATACCCTACGATTCACACAATGCTATCCCTTTTTTGCCAGGATTTCTTTCGATTTTTCTGCTCGTCCCATTTTGTTGTGTTGTTTTGCTGGCATTGCCTTTGCCATTTCCTTAATGTGCTAAACCAATAAAGCAACTTTTGACATGTCTGCCGGCTGTTTGAATTGCGTCCTAATTGTGCCACTCAGTGTGTGTTTGTGTCTCTATAGCCTTTCTCCACTTTTTTTGCCCAGATAAACCCACTGAGATTTTCTGCTTTTAGCCCAGCAAAATTGTCGCCAAATTTATGCCGAGAATTTCTGGAGGAAGGTGACTCCAATTATCCTGGCTTTTCAATCGATGTCAATCAATCAATCAATTAGCCGCACGTCTCGTCTATGCATCAATCAAATGCATACCCAAAATCGTCGGTTTCAATTCAATAAGGATCAATTTTCCAGGCCATTCACACTGACTTGGCTTCAATTTAATGTGAACTGTCCCAAATGTCGGGGAAAAACTGGTTGAATATCTTTTAGCTGAGCTAATTATTTTCCCAGTTTCCCCCTTTGGAGCCGCCACCGCCTCATTCAGTCAACATCATCAATCTTTCAGTATCCCCAGCAATTTGACAGCGATTGCGACAT